CAGTTTTGCCTTGTAAAAACTGTATTTAAGTGGCTACCTATGACACTAACTGTTCCTTTGAACAGACAGTAAAGCGCAAAGGTAAGCAAGTAATTCAGAAAGACTCCCCACATGTAATCCGAAGATAAATAAACCGCAAAGGCATCTAAAACGGCGGTCTTATTTAGCTGTTTTGCTAATCCCTTTATTTCCGAAGTCAGTGCAAAAGGACTTGAATACCATTGTCTTATTACCATCCTGATATTTCCATAAAAATGCATAAACATGTTTTTCGGTTGTTAGGTACAAATGTACTATTTCGCGTGGCATTTTTACAGCTACGTTCTAGGAGAATGCAAAATGTCTTGCAAACATCGGACATTGAACCTCCTCGTACTGTCGTATAATTTGCCTACATTTGAAAGCATGGTAGGTAAATAAATTTAACAGTGAGAACGACGACAAAGACAAAACAGAATAACGTACAGATCCCCACACACGCCGCAGGTAAATTCGGCGGCGTCAGCCATGATAAAAGTGTCGGCGTAATCACGGTCATGGTGCTTCAGCTTTTTCAACGAATGTGTTTCTAACAAATCTAATTATCCAACCGACTTCTTGAAAGTTGATTGGTGCCCACTTATGTATGTCAGCCTCGCAAGTGTGCTCTTTCTAATAGGCGCATAGATCGATTGACTCTCTCGACTTTATAACCGTCTATGGTGGAAAGAACTTTGAGTCGAAACAGCACAGGTACATTTTGTTACGTCAGCAAAAGAGTGCTCGGTAGCGATCGTACATAAGTCCCCCTCGTGATACGGTCCCCCGCTCGGGATACAGGTGGTTTTGGACTAAATTCCATGGAACATACGGCTGAAGTCAGGATGGGGTGAGAAGTAAGTTTATGGTTAGGGCTACGGTTAAACTCATAGTAGGGTTGGGGCTAGGGTTAGTGTTATGACTAATTGGAGATTTAGGGTTGTGTTCGAAGGTGGAGTTAGGGTTAAGATCAGGGTTGGACATGTTGGAGGCGGTTGTGCATTTGTGGGTGGAGCTGAGATACGCGTACTTGGCGTTTGGCTTTTGCGGAGGCGTTGCGGTTGGCTTCGTAAATCGCAGCGGCTGTCGTCAATGACCTCCTCCAGGTTGGCCTGTCTCGGGCGAGGTCTTCAAAGTCGGCCGGACTGATTTGCAGACGCTTGAGAGGAGACTACAGAACTTCCTTGTATCGACGAATTTAGCCTCCTTGGCCGCGGGAACCGGTGGCGACGTCCCCATAGAAGAGTTTTTTGGGCAGCCGATCGTCGCCTACTTGGACAATGTGCATTCCCCACGATAAAAGGAGGGAAGACATCGCAGTCCCATCGCCACTGCTAGCCCTACGAGGCCATCCCTCCCTTAAAAGCACATTATGCCGTTCCGCAGCACCCGACAACCGCTGTAATCTCATACATCCTTCTAGAAGTAAGCCCGCTACCGGTTTCACGATCGCCAGTGTGATGGACTCGAGGCACATACAAAAACCAATGCACTTCACGTAAGTGAGAAGCAGGTTCAGGGTGTATCTTGAGATAAAAAGTGATCACAAGGCATTTACGTAGGCAGTCCATATTGATTTTCAAAACATTGTGTCAAGTCACATCGCCGATCCACAGAGAGGCTCTCTTCGTGGCTTGGTGTATCTGAGAGTTGAGATATACAGTAGATGTGCTAACTCATAAAATGTCAACCAAAATTTCGAAATGCGTTCTCGTTTCTAAAAGATAAATTAAGTAGTGTTGTAAACCTAATCATGATGCAGCATAAATCTATAATGATTTAGTTACCTCAGGGTGCTGTTACACTTGCATTCAGGGTTTCAAAACTACAAGCTGTATACTTTCCGTGTACGGAAAACCATGCATTTCTCTACGGTGTTAGGAGGAGACCATATGCGGTTCATAAAATTAAGCAGTGAATTTGAGCAATATTGTTAACTTTACAAGCCATATTCGTAAATGCAGATACATGACGTTTCATGAACGGCCATTTAACGGTATTAAAAAATCTCACAATAAGAAACTTTTTTAAAACCGAAACATACTCTTCTTTTGAGTATGGACTTGGAAGAAGACGTGATTTTCTACCGAATAAGTAAAAGAATGAATATTTTTAGGCATGTTTTCCATTAAATCTAATTGAATTTTCAAGGGCATCGAAAATCAATGAGAAAATTGCATACTGCTCAAGTAGTCATTTTTTGCAGAGTATAGATTTTGCATGCAACCGAAAATACATTCTTTCGAAGGCCGACACCCTGAGGTAACTGGATCATTATAGATTTATGCTGCATCTTGATTAGTTTTACAACACTACTTAATTTATCTTTCCGAAACGAGAACGCATTTCGAAATGTTGGTTGAAATTTCATGAGTTAGCACATCTACTGTACATTCCGACGCCCACCAGTGAATTTTTCGGCATAATAAAGACCTTGGTTGGCAAAATAATGTTTGCAGACGACGTTAAGCTTTGACAAGTCATTAAGGGTCCGAATGATCAGAGACCCCTTCAAGATAATCTACACCGACTGCAAGCGTGGTCGAAGAAATGGCTTCTAGATTTCAATGTGGAGAAGTGTTCCGTACTTCATCTGCGTCCAACCAACTCTCATTCAAATGAGAGCCTGAGGACATATCACCTGAAAGATATAAGGCTCCCCGCAGAATCTTCACAGAAGGATCTCGGGGTTTGGATACAGAACAACCTGAAACCAACACTGCAGTGCCACAAGACTGCAAAAAACGCCATGGGAGTGCTGCATGCAATCAAAAGGGCTTTCACAAACTTTGACCAAGACCTTTTTGGGAGAGTTTACGGCACAATTGTTCGGCCCCACTTAGAATATGGCAAACAAGCATGGCGGCCATGGCTAGTAAAGGACCAAGCATGCCTCGAACGAGTACAACGGCGTGCAACAAATCTGGTAAACGGTCTAAAAAGCCAATCCTACACAGAAAGACTGAATTGCCTTAATTTATTCCCTCTGTGTTACAGGCAGCAAAGAGGTGATCTTATCCTCGTCTACAAGATAATACATGGCCTTGAGTATGGACTTAAATTTGAGGACATGTTTCAGTGGCACCTTTCACCCAATCTTCGTGGTCACTCGATGAAGTTACGGACAATAATGTCCAGGCTGGATCTTCGTTCTGAATTTTTCACGCAGAGGGTAGTGGAGAAATGGAACGATCTCCCTCAGTCAGTCGTGGAGGCTACGTCCCTGAAACTCTTCAAGAAACGCTTGGATGATTATTTGTGTCCCCGGTTTTCCCTGGACAGTCTGAATCTGAATTAATACCCCTGGTCCAGACAAATATTTTCTCTGAGACAATGCTACTCAAATGAACCAAGTACTGTTTTCATAGTGAACATTTTTTGCTCGTGTGCAGTTATTTCTAACGAGCTGACATGTAATCAATAGGGTTTTCAAAGGTTTTGCCTATTATCCTTACCAAATAAACTGAAAAAATAAACTGAATTGTGTTGTTTAGAGATAGCATTTGAACATTGGAAAATAGTTCTTTAGGGAAGCTAGCCCTTAAATAACCTTCATGAGTAAGTGTGATGTCAAGTATGAGAGAAAACTGACAGCCATCAGAGTATGTAGATTAGAACACTGTTTCACGAGAAATGGGTGTATTTTTCCGTTTGGTCATTGTTTGGAATGCTATTAACTAAGGCAGACCGGTTTGTTCTTGGTTTCCCTGTTATGGATATCACAAGAATAAACTTTTTCATAAGGTAAATTGAAAAAAAACAGGTTTAAACAGAATCGTTAGGTGCAACCATAAACTTACCATTTTTGCGTTTAATAAAAGAACTCTCCTTCTGTCGAATATCTTCATAGTTATCGCTGTGGACACTCGCGAGCGAAGGAACCGAAGAGACAAAGAAACATCTAATATAAATATATCTGCAAACGACGGCGTTTTGACTCATCGAATGGCACTTTCGGAGATCGTGAAATTGTAGTGTGATCGCGTCTGATAGAGCGCAACAGAAGTCGTTATCTTGGTCAAACGAAGTCGTAGCATGGACATCCTTCTAATCCTAATCACTCCAAGTTCGGGTAATTAATCTACCGGCCATCTAAACATCGTTGGCGCAGTCTCAGGAAAGGAATCCGTTTCAAAAGCGAACTGCATGGAATATCACTCACTAAACAACCAGAAATGCTCCGATGTTGCGAAAAGAGGAACAGTTTTGGATGATGGCCTTTAGTCACCCTCTTTTCTAGTTTTTTTTGCGACTTCGTGCACCAATGCGTCAATCGTTTATCTAAACTTTATTTGCTAACCAAAATTTCACATTCGCACAGGCATTTTAGATTACGCCAGATAAGTGAGACTCTTAGAGTTATTTGCGAGCTGTAAAAGAACCCATAGCAGTAATGACGACGATTAAGATAACCCTCACGTATCCGACGCCCAAAAAGGATGAAATGATGATGAATCTCACATTCCTCACTTGTTGGCTTGCCATACCTTGAAAAAGACCCATTACACAGCTGTGCGAAAGTAGCATGCTTTGAAGCAGTGAAAACGACAGAGCTCGCGACATGCTCTCAGCATTTATTATAACACGGTGGTGGAGGTATCTGAATTTGATCTCAAAATTAACAGTCGAAGGACATTGACACATAATCTGCCTAGCAGTGCTGTATTTTATAACTTTCCAATGTTTAAAAAAATAATGAGAAATTCCCCTTTAAAAATTCCCACCCAGGGATGGCGAATGTCACCGTTTGCTTCAATCTCGCCTACTAAAATTGCATAGCCCATGAAGACGCATTACTGCAAATGCTACCTCTTTGGATAGGGGAGAGCTTCTATGCAACAGCAGATTCCTGAATACTTGGCAAGTAGGACCCGTGCATTCATTCAAATATTCGACCTAAACGCTCTCACGCTACCATTTAAACGCCGACCTGCGCACGATCAATACTCACCCTGTCATTCAAACACAGTACGCACACGGCGATGTCGAGCGCTGAGCGGCTCCCCGATCTCTGCGCACAGATGCTACTGATTAACGTCTGCGCATTATTTCTTCTTGATTTCCTTTCCAACCCCATCCACTGTGTTGTTTTGCAGTTCTTTATCATCGTCTTGCCCGGTAAGTGCTATTCTTGACGTTATTCATGAAATTCAAGCAATCCTTTCATTTACTGTGCATCTTGGTGTAGTGGCTTATATTTTCTGGTTCTACGATCCAAGGCAACCTAAGTAAATTACTGTGTGCATGTGTACAGGCAGATGACGATCAACTAATCTAACGTCCTTTTCTCATTGCATATGTTCTTTTTTCCCTGATACCGTTATTGAAGTTGACTGTTGCATCGTTATACCTCTGGTTCTTCTCCCATCACTCCTGTAATCGGTCGGCAAGCATCGTTCTGCAACTCGCCAAATTCCTTCCTCGGAATTCCACTACAGGCGACGTTTACGGAAGGTTAGTGCACCATGCGGAAGACTCTTCAAATGATTATTTTTTTCAATCATATTAACTCCCCACTTATCATGCGGATATTTGAACAACTTCTGCTGATTTCCTGTCTACAGAGATGCGGTATGTCCGTCAACCGGAAATTCGGCCGCTGATGGAGGCGTGGTAATGAGGATGCCTGTGTTGTGTAGCCGCGAAAAAGAAGGTCCGGTGCCAGCTGTGGGGACAACGGAGAAGAATGCGTCATGGCAGAGTGGGGTCGTACAGAGGGAAGTGAGTAAGTGAATATCTGAACTTAATTCAGCACTGCCCAGCCCGCCCAGTTTGTCTCAACATTATCTTCTTTTCTTCTCAAATAACAGGCAACACTGTTGAATATGCGTCTCCAATGGCTAGAAAGGTGGCCGTCAGGCCAGATCTCTACACTGTTGAAGAGGTTTCTGAAGAGGAGGAGAAGGCGGCTGAATTGAGTCTAAATGAGGATTTTGAAGACAGCGAGATGGAGAGTGAACGGAACAATTTCACGCCGGCCCTACAGCACTGCACCGAAGATACTGACACCGTGTGTAAGGAAACCCTGCCAGATACAACTGTGCTCCCGACGGAGACGTGGTCGCCTTTGGATAAGAGCAGATAATCGGTCACCGAGAAAGCTGTACTGCGGCCGGCATATCGTGAGACTGCTGCCCGAAGACGACAACGGCGTAATTGGAAGGAAGTCAGTCAGGTGGCACGTAAGTCGATGATGGCCTCGCTGCCATGTAGATGCCATCAATGCACCATTAGAATCCTTCTGTTTTATTCGTCATCCGCACTCTAAGTTAGTACATTCTTTTCATCAAAATCAACCATTTTAGAATCAGGCATGGTGTTGGATCAGACGCGGCGGAGTCGCATTGGACGACGTCTGCGTCGAATGTGGACGAGGTTCGTCTGCTGTGGATCGTCGCATGTAACTGCATAATATGACATTGATTTAATCCTGTACATAGTCGATCTCGTCTCATCTGATTTCTCCCTCTTGTATTTAACTTGATTAGCGTCTGTTTAAATAAAGTCTGTGTTTGCATTCCCCTAAGGTCTTCTCTGAGCAGCATCTGTGAACGCAAACGCAGGGAACTTGTAGAGGAGAGAAATGTGAATGTCTAGTGGAGGGAGGGGATGCGTATTCACATAGTCGTTATGAGGTAATCAGTCTAAGTGGGCCGACGATTTAGAGTAACATTTGGGTGGATTCGTCACCACTTTTTCAATCGCTCCAGAAACGGTCAATTTGCAAGGGTCCTCCGTTGTTATTCCTTTGCAGTTGGGCCAGTATGCGTTAGCTTGCAGAAGCTAGTATGAAAGTGAGCACGGTTGCGCCCGAATCCTGACGTTCCCTCCAAAATTGAGCTCCAATTTTCTCAGTTTGTATTAACTTAACAGTGGCATTAGCCTGCAACTGATCTCTTTTAGTAGCCTTACTTAAGCGGGGTATAGAAAATGGACTATTTCGCTTTTCATAATAACCCAACTGTGAAAACCTCGGCGGCTGGGTGGGATTCGAACCCACGCAGTAAGGGGAAGGATTTAGCGCAGCCAACGCTCTAACCACCTGAGCTACGAGGCCCCGCCGGACGACGCCAGTTTAATCACATCTGCGTCAAGTTACACGCCCAACCAACGTCTGGAATCAACCAAATCTGATAAAGTAGGTTGACTGCCGAAGCAGGATTTCGTAAGTAATTCACGTAGAATCCACCAGATGACTACCAGGCTCACGTAATTCATAGATATTTTGAAGCAGATGCGCCGAGTTTTTCACAATTGGGTCAATATGAATTATTCAATGTCTGCCAAAATATCTATGAAGGTGTTATACTAGCTGATATCGTGACCTCTTTCAGTAGCCTTACTTCAGCGGGCCATTCAGAATGCACTATTTCGTTTTTGTTTGAGAAAACTTCGATGAGTGAAAAGGACACCCCTCTTACCCGCCATTGTCGTCCAAATGACCGGATGGTGAGTGCTCACGCTATAAGCGTGCGTCGACTTGATGGACCGCAATTGGACATTCTGGAAATCAGTGTTGTCATCTACTGTTCTATTGACTGTCCCTGTTGTAATACGTAAGACTTGTGGAACTGGTGACTCTGGTGAGCATGGGTGCGTAAGAATTATTCCGCTCCTTCCAGAAGTGGGTGCATACAGGAGCCGCCTCATTCGCTTTTGAGGCGGTGATGAAGGATGACTACTGTGGGGATTCAGGAGTGCGCTCTGTGTTGATTTTCGACGTGGGGGGGGGGGGCGAGAAAGATGTGGACTGGTGGACATCAGCTTGTGTCGTTCGGGTGCTGCAGTTGGTACAAAGATGTCCTACAACACAGATTGGTGCCCCGAAAGTCCTCTGACATCGGGAACAGGTTGGAGGCGGTTCAACGTTGCAAAGTGAAGGAAATTGCACTTTGCGAGCTTTGTGTTTGACTTTGGCGACGGTTGGCTTCGTAGATTGTTGCGCCTGTCTTCACTGTTCTTCATCAGTTCTCGGGCGAACTCTTACAAGCGCTTCAGGGAGGGTTTTAGGGTATCCTTGCGACGACGGACATGGCCCCTTGTCGGCCGGAACCCGTGGCGACATCTCCATAGACTAGCTCTTCGGATAACCACTCGTCATTTATGCGCACAAAATAGCTGCTCCAGGGAAGTTGCAATTGTCTCGCCAGGTGTCGATGTTGGATATTCCTGTCCGTTCCCGTACGTTCATGTCCGGAACTCATCCCAGCCACCTCAGCTTTTATATCCGTCGAAGATAGTAGAGATGGAAGCGGTAGAGTCTTCGCGCCTACTCTTTGTACACCGTCGAGGTCTCTCTTCCATAGAGCACCGTCGGCAGGATTCCAGGTGTCTTATCGCGTTCTTCTCAATCAAATTGACAAATTCTACCCTACGGACACAGATGTGGTATATGAATGGCTCTCATTCACTTAATGTCAGCCACAACTCCCAAGCTTAAGCCAATATGTCGTTGAATGGACCTCCTGCTAATCGTAATCACTGGAGGTTCGGGTTACTAATCTCCCGGCTATCTAAGCATCGTTGGCGCAGTCACAGGAGATGAATCCGTCTCAAAAGCAAACTGCGTGGAATGACAGTTCGACCATCGATTTCGATGATGTCCACCGTGTGCCCCACAGCAGGTTGGAGCAGGGACGGTGACTTGCACAGGGGTTTATAGTGCCAGTAGACTTGCGCTGCATCTACCTGCACTCTCTCCTCCTCCCCCGCCTGGGCCCGGTGTCAAGACAGAGTCAAGAAGACCGGAGACGAGGGAGGCCGCAGGTGGATGGCTCGGACGGATCCTCACCTTGGCGTTCCACCACACCCCCTGGTCCACACAACAATAACCAGGATTTGAACCAACACAACATAGATTTGGAGGCTGGCACGGCCGAAGCCGCACCTGGGCGTGCCGCCAACGCCTGGCTCGGATCCCACACTGTGGTGGGAATGCCATAAAGGCCACATTAAAAAGGAGCCATTGCAGCCTGACTCTCAGACCGCCTCCCGTTAAGGAGGAGGTCCATGGTACCCCGTCAGTTGGCAACCTTCCAAGCCACGGCTTTTAGCGCACCGTGATAGCATCAAGCGCGTCAGATTGTTTATAGTGAGGAAAAAGTGCGCTGAGTAGTCGACCTCACTCTCCCTTCCCATTCCCACACTCCAGCCGCCGTCCGAGCCGGTCGGCAAACTGGAGTGGTGGATGGGCGCGGTGGCTGCCACGGTCGACTGACCGTGACTGCGCGCGCCACAGCACGACCTGGCCACCCATACACACACAACAGCAGGATTTCACACAACGGGGGTTGAACGGCGTGTCTCTCACATGCGTGAGAGGGCCGTGGAAGGTGCTGCTTCAGCCCGTTCCCAGCCCACCAGTCCGCCACTCCACACAGCACACACACACAACGCGACGAACTGCGTGAACCGAGAGCGGGCATCAATCAGCAACCTTCCTATCCACGAAACTTGAAGTGTCGGGATAGTCTCGGACTCAAATCACCCGTACAGCCGAAGCCGCGTGGGAACCGAAACGAGATGCACACTTCCCACTTGCGTGGAAGGTGGCAGTTGGTGCATGCGGTGGGTAAGTGTTGATGTGTGTTGGT